TCAACTTGGGCTGTGGTGTAGGCGTGTTGGTTCCAACTTTCTTCGTGACGCCGGAGAAGCAGGAGCGTAAACACTTTGCGAACCTTTTTTGGTTTCAGTTTTCATTGTGCGCGTGCGTGCTGCTAATGGCGGTCTTTTTCGTCCCGTCTCGTCCGCGCTACATGGCAAGCTATGCCGCAGCACGACAACAGAGGGGCGAGGAGAAACGCTTGAAGGCTGTTCGGGGCATTTTTAAAGGTCACATAGGCCAGAGTGACGGCGAACTGGAACAACACGAACATGAACAGCAACAAGATTCCGAACAACCACCACAACAACAACGACAACATCAGGGGCCTGAGGAAGAGGGAGACACTTATTTCACGGATGAAAATGATGAGCAGGAAGTGCAGCCAATCAACGTGTTTTCTACTATCATGGATTCGCTCCGCATGCTGAAGAAGAATCCCTCCTTTGCATTTCTTATGATTGCCAGCGCGGCTGAACTTGGTCTCATATGGGCTGTCGCCACTGTACTGCCTCAGTGTTTAACTCCATTTGGCGTCTCAGAAGTAGAGAGTGGGTGGATTAGTTTTTTGAATCTTGTCTTTGGTACTATTGTTGCACCATTTTTTACGCATTTTGTTGAGCGTAAGCGTCAGTATAAAACCGTACTTGTCTTCATAGCTATGCTCCTTACTATTAACATGTCCATATTTGTTTTCATGCTGGTGTTTGGTCCATCTCCGCATGAAAATCGGACTTACTATGTCGTTGCGGCATTTATTCTCTGGGGCGGCGTGGCTGGCCTCTGTCAGAATTTTATTATGCCACTTATGTTTGAGTTTGTTATTGAGCTCACGTTTCCAATGGCGGAGTCAACAAGTGCGCCTACACTGATGTGGGCAGCATGCTTATCAAATTTGATTTTAACGGTTGTGTTTGGTGAAGTACTTGGGGAACATCCGACACGAGGTGAGGCGCTTAATGTTTTTATGGGGGCAACACTTGTGTGTTTTATTGGTGGTCTTGCACTTTTGTTGGTGTACCCGTACGGACGACGGCGTGAGTATGAGCTTCTCATGAAGGAGAGAGACGAAACCCAGCAGTTTTCACCACCGTTGCAGGAGTAAAAAACAAAAAATAAAAAAAATGGAAACTTGGCTGTGAGGGAGTCTTTTAACAAAAGAAGAATGAAGTATCTGAATACATATGACGTTGTTTTTTGTTTCTTTGATTGTTGCGGTTCACAAAATATAGGAAGATGTCTTTTTTTTTTTTTTTTTGTGAAAATACAAAGAGAGAGAGAGAGAAAAAAAAGAGAGGAAATGAAGCAAAGTCACATGTGTGGTATAAATATAACATTGTAAATATATAAATATTTACATATATATATATATATATATATATATGTGTGTGCGTTTATTAATTTATTCATTTATGGATACTCCCCGTAGATGCACAATGAGAACAAAAACCCCGTTATAATGAATAAAACAACTCTTTCAGGGAAGGGAAGGGAAGGGAGGGAATGGGCAATACCTTTGGTGGTTCCGGAGATGCCGTGGAACATAAAATTGCCGGAGATATTATGGGTTTCAAGGATAGGGAACATCGGTATTTGATATAGCACGAAGTTCCAATACGACATGCAATTTGATTTGGCGTTTGTACTTTTTCTTTTTTGCTGTTGCTTTTATCCTCCTTTCTTTGAGTTTTATTATTATTATTATTATTATTATTATTCTTTTAGTTCTTTTAGCTTTTCTCTCGTGCAGGATACAAATCATGTCTTTTTCCTTTCTGCTGTATGGTGCGTGCGTGTGGGTGGGTGGGTGGGGTGGAGATGTTTCTGTTGGACGTGATGCTCTAAATGTTTTTGTGTTTATTTGCGGTTCTCTTTTATTTATTTATTTATTTATTATTATTATTTTGTGTGTCTTTCATTTCTTTTTGTCGCTTTAATTTTCCCCTCTCACTGAAGGCAGCAACGGGCGCAAGAGGTCACTCTCCTGGGCAGTGGGCGAAGGCGAAGTATTGTATGCCCCACGTATTATTTTCTTCCCTTCCCCGCGTGGCGGCGGATGCGCTGCGATACGAGGAGCAAGAAAAGGACGAAGAGGGTACGGAGTTGATCGCTCACAACAACGAAATGGACTTCTTCATGGACGACTACGTTTCGTTGGATGTGGCGAAAGCAAATGCCACCGCCGCCAGCAAATCTGCTGAGGACGAAGAGGCAATGATCCCACCAAGAAGTATTGCGCAGCCCAGGCAGTCTTGTGAGAAGAATGAAGGTGTTTTTGCTCTCGACTGTGACGTGTGTCTGCAGCTCTCTGGAGCGGCTGACGAGGGAAGTGGAGGGAGATTTATCATTCGTGTTCCAGCGGCTTTGCCAGTATCTAATCCCTCCATTTCCGTTACTCCATGCCCCATTAATGAAACCACAGCACGCCAAATGAAGCCAATGTGTGGCAAAGATACAATGGTTGGTGTAGAGGAGGTAACTGTACTTGACGCTGGTGCTGCTTGGACAGCACGCGGTGAAGGATATATGAATGGTGAGGTGTCAGAAGAAGAGGATGGGGCTGCGTTCCGCTCTTCTTGCTATTCAATCAACAGTTATGCTCAGCACGGATCAATAATACCAAAAACAATATTGATGCCAAGCAATAATTGTGAACATTTAATCAATGCAGGCAATGTTACGATTACTGTTTCTGCTGAAGAACAAAAACAAGCCAGGGGAGGGGAATGTGTTGTGGTACATGCCATGAAACTTCCTCTAAACTTTGTTCTTGGCTTACGGTTATCCTTTGGGCTGGAACGAGCCCTTGTGAAATGTTATCAGGAGAACAGGACATCATCAGCACCGCCTCCTGTATGGCTTTCTGCCTTTTTGTATACGACGGCTCTGCGCTGTGAGACCTTCACGAGCCCAATTTCCACCTTATCTCCCTCGATGTGTCAAGAGTGGTTAGGGGAATCAACTGCAGTGGCGACACTAGAGGGCTTTTGTATTGTGGCCCTCAATATAATTGCTCAAATGGGACATCTGCACCGACAAAAGTTACAAGAAACGGACGATATTGACGAAACAACGATGGCACAGAGTGGTTTATTGCACGGCAATCAACTGTTTTCTGCTTCACAGAAAGAACGTGTACGGCGATGGCTGCAACGTTATATTCCAATGGAGGCCTATGACAGAAGCGAGGAGAGTGAGAAAACTCTCCGAAGGTCACCTGGGTGTTTTCTATGGCCTTCCGCTGTGACAGTTGTCTTTCATATAGCACTGGACTTGGCCAAATTTTTGTTCCCTTCGTTGTTATTGAATCTGGAGTCTACAATCCTGGCTGCCCTGCAGCCACTTCTGGAAGCACGCACTGTGGGGTCGATGTCGACTCCCTCTCTGTATGTGTCGTCTCCCGTTCTTTCTCCCTCCACCCCGTCACTGCGGTGGCCACAGAGCCGCAGACAGGCTTTGTTGTTGCTAACGCAATTTCCTTCCGCATGGTGGAGTTGGTGGCGTCGAAACAAAAACGATGAAAAGAGCAATAACGACTGTGGTATCAGCGCCATTTGCGCGTCAAGGGGGTACGCTGCTCTTCGAGTTTTGCAGTGCTTCACATGCAGTTGTTTGCAGTCCACCCCTGATGAGTCCTGTCATCTCGTGGAGGACGACGACGAAGAAGAGTGTGAAGTGGCACAATTTCTTCTTTCAGCAGAAGCGTTATTTGCAGAACTTCTTTTGGATCGTGAGGTAGCAAACGTAATTGATCGCACCAGAAAGGGAATCACCTGGCTTTACCACACTTCATTGGAAAGGCTTAAGAGCAGGGACGCTGTAACCTTGCCCTTACAGACAACACGTGCCTCGATGCGCTATCTTCTTGTACTCGTCTGTTGGTTGACTTTCCGCCCCAAAGGTTATTGCACGACACTGGCTCAACATCATTTTGGTTCGCTGTTGCGCCTTGCCGCCATGCATCACGAACGGTGCCAGTCAGAGCATCTTTTTAATGTGAAGTTAGAAGAAGAGGGAGAGACAATGGATCGCGAACAGATGTTGTTGACGGTTTGCAGTCGCGAGTACCTCCTGTTACTCTCCAATTTGCTTCGCCATCTACGTGACCGATGTGGAACGCGACGGCACAGAGGAGATTACGCAACCTCACCACGGGAAAATCCATGGCAACAGCTGCGTCAAGGTAAGATGTCCAGCCGGTTATTTGCGAATGATGAAGACGGGACGACAAACACCTCCCACAGCCATCCCTCCGTGGCTTCTTTTAGCACCACGAATGCCGCGACTGAATCTCTCCTTGCACCTCAGCCGCCAACGGCGCAACGCACCGCAATTCTGCATAACGATGCCCTTTCGTCCCGTTCACTTTATACTCTTCGGCGTGTTATTCGTGCAATGTGCCACGTTATTCGTCGACTTGAACGGGACGTGCTTGAGGCGTATGACACGTCGGCATTAACTTCTCTTGGTACCAAAAGAATGCGCAATTTGGAAGAAAACACTTTTTCAAATTTGCGGGTTTCCGTTAGTGAACTGAACTTTGGCGTAACGCCTTATTTTGCGCGTCATTTATGCAGCCAGCCAAACGGTCGTTTCTGGGAGTGGCACCTGGAAACCAGTGAGTCCAGTGACGAAGACGCAACCGACACTTCCGCCAGCGGAAGCGGATGACAGAGAAAGACATACAGACAGAAAACTGAAAAATACCGGGAAGAGTTGAAAGCAGATTATTATTATGATTTTAGGCACATGAAGAGCCGCCCCCCAAAAAATACAAGATCATTGGTGAAACATTGAAATATAAACATTGAAAAATTGAAATATATTTCTAAAGCCTTTTGTGAATTTGACTCCTCCTGCTGCACAGAGCCATTTTTTTTTTTTTTTTTGGATTGTAAAAGGCCCGGATGTGTTTTTTCTTTTTTTACTATTTATTATTATTTTTTAATTTTGCCTTTTTTTTTGTTGTTTGCTTGTGTTTTGTCGTGCGGATGAAAAAAAAGTAATTTTTTTTTTTTTTTGCCTCGTTTCTTTATTTTTTGTTGTTTTTTTTTTTGCGCCCCGCCTCATACCAACAGAATGGGAAGGGAATTTTCCTCGGTGCGCGTGGTTTTAGTTGTGTTTTGCGTGATTCTCCGACCGCAAATGTTGTTGTTGTTTGTTTGTTTGTTTACGGGTGACGTTGTTGTCATCGCTTCTTTTCTATTTCTGCTGATATTTTAAACTTGCCAGGGTTTTCCGTGAGGGGCCATGGCCGATAAGGTTGAAGCGAACGACACGCTGGCGTGCACCTACGCCGCCCTCATGCTTAGCGACGCGGGTCTGCCCATCACAGCGGAGGGCATTGAGGCCGCGTGTGTGGCTGCCGGTCTGAAGGTGCGCAACACCCTGCCCGTTATTTTTGCTCGCTTTCTCGAAAAGAAGCCGCTGGAGACTCTCTTTGCTGCTGCCGCTGCTACGGCACCTGCAGAGGGCGCCGCTGCTGCTCCTGCCGCTGGCAGTGCTGCCCCTGCTGCCGCAGCCGCCGGTGCTGCGCCAGCAAAGGACACAAAGGAGGAGGAGGAAGACGACGATATGGGTTTTGGCTTGTTTGACTAGGCGTGTGTCTGTGCGCTTAAGGAGCAAAAAAAAAAAACTTTGGACGCCGATTTGCACTTATTT